TGGCCACACTGATTTGTTAACTCCGTTGCTGTGTTGATAAATTTATTGATGCCTTCTTCTTTCTGCTCCCTATATTGTTTATTCCGTAATCGCAGCCATGTTCTCCTGAATCAAGAGTCACAAGTTGTCTACAATTTTCTCATTAGTAGATTTCAGTAACTGAGACTTACCCATTGGGATGGTTGTCAGTGTCCTGGCTACATAGTCGTCATCGCCCGATGCGTTCCATACCTTTAATTTTTCTTCATATCGCGATTCTCCTTCCTCTAGTATTTACGAGCTATCACATTTATCACCTTCTTCCATAACTTTTGGATCGCAGTATACCCTCAATTTTTTCCGTCCAAGGGAAGTAATTATAGTATAATCGAATTTTTCTGTATCATTTATGCCCCACGGGTCTGCCATCTTAACCACACTTTTCCACATGCCAACTGAAATCCTCTACAATCATTTCCTGCAACCACGCCTTGCTACAAATTTCCGGTGAGCTTATAATTAATATGCACATATAATGTATATAATATATATAGATGCTTTTTAACCTTGACATATGTCGATACCTTCCTATAAGATTGTACCCACTATCCTTCGCACGCGCCACACTCACACCGTTCATTCCGCAACACTAACGACCAAATTCTCTTTCCACCGCCAACTTATTCTTGTTCGCACCACTTGAACACCATCTCGCGCACATACTGGGAACCAAACGCATACATGTATTATCCCACGCTACGGAAGAAATTAAGCAAATCATTTTATTTTTTACCATTTAGTAAGAAATCATTTCTTACAGATAATGTAAATCCTAAAAAAATTAAATTAATTGAATTGAATAACGTAACTTCAATTACAAAAATTCCTTTATATTTCAATGATAATAATAAATCATTATATAAATTCCGTTCGCTGGTCAAGTGATTCCAATTTGAATCAATTAATTGTGGTATGTATATATATATATGAAAATAAGATAAAGAAAGGAAAACAAATAATAACAATTCTGATATAATTAGCAAGTTTCATACGAATTTTAAGAAATATATATTATTGAGATATATTTGTACTCTTTGATAAACTCTTTCGCGGATGATATTTCTTATTCATGATATTACTAATATAATCATATTTAATACAGCAAAGATTAAATTATACACATTACATATATATAAAATATAATACTCAACTAATCATAAAATTGATTAAGATCAAAGAGATACTTAACCAAATGGAAAATTCAATTTTTCAATAATATATGTATTTAATTTAATACCCAGAATAATACAAAAGTATTAAAGAAATATAGAAAATACGTAAGATTGAAAATATGATACAAAACATTATAAAATCATTCGAATATTTTGAATAAAAAATTAAAAACAAATAATATAAAAAAATTTATTCAAATAATTCCTCCTAATAACGTTAAAATCAAATGCCCAGTAATTAAATTTGCACATATTCGAATTGACCAAGTTATTGGTCCCATAATATTTCTAATTTAATCAATAATTACTATAAAATTTATTAAATGACAAGATGAACTTAATGGCACCAAATGAATGAAAAACTTTATTAAGAATTTTCTACAATACAAGTAATTAATGCTAATCATAGAGTTAGTGACGTTTATAAATTACAAATTTTCTAGTGGAAGGAGAAATGTAAGGAACTAAATATAAAAAACGCAATAAAAATACATAATTTAAGAAACATAGAAAAATAACAGTAGCAAAATTTAATTGGCAAATTATTGTAAACTCACCAATTATGAAAGATAAAAACTGGAATCAAATCGAATTGTATCGTCTTGAAATTCATCAATATGTTTTAGGATAAATAAAGATATTCTAGAATTGTTAATTCATTACACACTAAAATAATAGGTATTAATAATACAATTTCAACATCAAAAATTAAAAATATCAAAGATATTAAATAAAAAGGTAATGAAAAAGGTAAAATAGATTTTGAAATTATATTAAATCCACATTCAAAAGGTAAATTTTTTTCTATTTTTTTTTTAAAAATTATTGTAAAAAATAAATTTAATAATATTAAAAATAAAGAAATAAAAATTAATATTATATATATAAAAATAAAATTTAAAAAAATAAACATTTTTATAAATAAATTAATCAATATAAATCAATATATAAAAATAATCAAATTAAATCAACAAAATGTCAATATCAAATTGAAAATTCAAATAATAAATGATGAATTTTTGAAAATTGATTAAATATTAATCGTAATAATGAAATCAATAATAATAATAATCCAATTAATACATGAAATCCATGAAATCCTGTTAATAAAAAATATAATGATCCAAAAATTCTATCATTTATAGTAAAATAAGAATGAGAATATTCATAAAATTGAATAATTAAAAATATAATTCCTAATATAATTGTTAAAATTAAATAAATAACTGATTTAATTTTTTTATTATTTAATATATAATAATATCTAATAGATAATAAAAATCCTGAAAAAATTAAAATAATTGAATTAAACAAAGAAATTTCAATTGAACTAAATGTAAAAATTCCTTTTGGTGGTCAATTAATTCCAATTTCAATTGAAGGTGAAATATATATATGAAAATATGATCAAAAAAAAGAAATAAATAAAAATAATTCTGAAATAATAAATAAAATTATTCCAAATTTTAAAAAATTTATAATAAAATTAGTATGTATTCCTTGATAAATTCTTTCACGTATAATATCTCGTATTCATAAAATTATTAATATAATTAAATTAAATATATTAAAAATTAAATTATAAATATTATTAATATATATATAATAAATAAAATTAATTATAAAATTTATTAATCTTAAAGATATTATTAAAGGTCAAGGTCTAATTGTTACTAAATGAAATGGAAAATTTTTTAAATTTTTCATTTTATTTTATTAATTATATTCTGAATAATATAAAATTATTAATATAGAAAATACATAAGCTTGAATAAATGTTATAAAAATTTCTAAAATTATTAAAATATTTTGAATGAAAAAAGAAATAATAAATAATTCTAAAAAATTTATTATAAAAATTCTTAATAATATTAAAATTAAATGACCAGAAATTAAATTTGCACATAATCGAATTGATAATGTTATTGGTCGAATTAAATTTCTAATTAATTCAATAATTACTTTAAGATTTGTTAAATATTTAGGTGAACTTAAAGGAACTAAATGAGTAAAAAATCTTTTATAATCATTTATTAAAATATAATCAACTAAGGTAAGTCATAAAGTTAAAGATATTGATTAATTAAATACTAAATGTCTAGTAGATGTTAAAATATATGGATTTAAACTTAAACATTTAATAAAAAATTATAAGTTAATAAATTTGAAAAAATTATATTATTTGAATTTAATTTATAAATTACTTCAAGTTATTTAAATATCATATTTAAAAATTTTAATCAAAATATATTATATTTACTTGAAACTAATCAATATATTTTTGGACATAAACAATATATTTTTTTGTAAAAATATAGAAAATCAATTTGAAAAATGATTTAAATTAGTTGCTGGATCAAATATTCCAAATAAATTAAAAAAATTAATATTCATTTTTTTTACTATAACAATTTTATCTGAATTTAAATTAATTTATATAAAACTTAAATTAATTAATATATACATTAAACTTAATAAACATAAAAAAAATTTGTAACCATTTAATTGGTACTATCTGTGGAATTAGTTTCTCATTAAAAGTATTTATTACCATATTTGATTTAAAAAATCGGTTCTTTGAACTTAAGACATTTAATGAAAGATATTTAAAATAATATATAATATAATATTAATTGTAAATTGTCAATTTAATGTTATAAGGTGTAACTAATTCTTAAATTGAGTTTTACTATTAATTCAATTTGTAAAATATTTTATTGATGTTCTTTCTTAAGTAATAGGTATAAAACTAAGAGTTATTCCACAAATTTCTGAACATTGACTAAAATATAAACCAGGACGGAAGCAAAATATATTAAATTGATTTATACGACCAGGAATTGGATCAATTTTAATTCCTAAAGAAGTAATAGCTCAAGAATGAATTACATCAGTTGATGAAACTAATAAACGTAAAGGTAATTTTATTGGCACTACCATACGATTTTCTGTATCTAATAAACGAAACTGATCAATTATCGAATAAGATATTATATAAGTATCAAATTCAATATTATTAAATTCTGGATATTCATATGGACAATATCATTGATGTCCAATTGAATTAATTGAAAAAAAAGATTTAATAATTCATCAATATAGTATAAAGTTTTTAAAGAAGGTAAACAAATACATAATAAAGTAATTATTGGAATAATTGTTCAAATTATTTCAATTAAATGATCCATTGATAAATATAAATTAATATATTTATCCGTTAAAATGCCAATAATTAATTAAAATGTAAAAGTAGTAATAATTATTATAAATACTATAAAAACATTATGTAAATAAATTAAATTATCTGAATAAAATGAATTTGAACCTCGAAAACGATATATTTCATGTTGAAATTTTTAATAATAGAATTAAATTTTACATTATTGAATTTTAAATTCATTACACTTATATGCCATACTAAAAAAATTGTATTAAAAATTAAAATTCTACTTTCATTAAATGAATGATCTAATGGAGGATAATTTATTAATCATTCTAATGGTAAACGATTTATTTTGAATAATAATAATCGTTTTGATATTAAATTTTCTAGAATTGAAAATAGTGAAAAAATTATTCCATTTAAAGAAATAATTGAATCAATTGAAGATAATAAATTTCAACAATAGTAAGAATCCGGATAATCAGAATATCGTCGTGGTATTCCTATTAAGCTTAAAAAATGTTGAGGAAGAAAAGTTAAATTAACACCAAAAAATATCATTAAAAACTGAAAATTTAATCCCTTATTTATTAATAAACCAGTAATTAATGAATATCAATGAATAAATCTAGAAATTATTGAAAATACAGCTCCCATTCGTAATACATAACGAAAATTAGCAACAGCATGATAAGCATCGTGTAAAATAATTTCAATTGATGAATTTGATTATGTAATTCCAGTTAATCTACCAATTGTAAATAATAAAATAAATCCTAATGTTCATCTAATTAAATTATTTATTACTATTTTTGAACCGTAAGTAGTTGCTAATCATCTAAAAACTTTAATTCCTGTTGGCACAGCAATAATTATTGTAGCCGAAGTAAAATAAGCTCGTGTATCAACATCTAAACCAATTGTAAATATATGATGAGCTCAAACAATGAAACCTAAGAATCCAATTCCTAATATTGCATAAATTATTCCTAAATTACCAAAAACATCTTTTTTACCACTTTCATTTATAATAATTTGAGAAATTAATCCAAATCCAGGTAAAATTGAAATATACACTTCTGGATGACCAAAAAATCAAAATAAATGTTGATATAATATTGTATAATAATACTCCACCTCCTATTGGATCAAAAAAAGAAGTATTAGAATTTCGATCAAATAATAATATAGTACTCCAGCTGAAACTGGTAAAGATAATAATAATAAAATTATTGTAATAAATACTGATCAAGGAAATAAAGGCATTTTATCTAAATCCAAACAAAAATTCTTTATTAATATAATAGTAGTTATTAGATTTATTGAACCTAAAAGAGATAAAATACCTGATATGTGTAATGAAAAAATTGTAAAATCAACTGAAGGAGAAAAATGAAATATATAATTTGATAATGGAGGATAAACTGTTCAACCTGCACCTGATGTAAAATTAAAAATTCTCCTAATTAATAATAATAATAGTGAAGGAGGTAATAATCAAAATCTAATATTATTTATTCGAGGAAAAGACATATCAGGTGAACCTAATATTAAAGGAATTAATCAATTTCCAAGTCCACCAATTAAAAATGGTATAACAATAAAAAAATGATTAAATAAGCATCTCATGTTACTAAAGTATTATATAATTGATCATTTTGAGAAAATCCTCCTGGAAGTCTTAATTCTATTCGAATTAAAAATCTTACTGGAGATCCAATTATTCAAGACCATATTGCTAACAAAAGATACAAAATACCAATATCTTTATGATCAGTAGATATAAATCATTTTATATAAAATAAAATTTAAATATTATATAATTCATTTTT